ATTTGAGATGCACTTAATTTGAGCAGGATTTGGACTTTATAACTTGTTTCAGTATGCAAAGCTCTAGTAATATCAAGGAAATTTTGGCCTGAAAAGTTTTTGGGTGTGTGTATTCAGGTAACCTACATCTTAACCAAAAAACGAAAAGAAAAGAAAAAGAACTTGTTCGAACGTTTGCAGAAGCATCAATTTAATAGTAAAATGCTGCCTCCTTCTGGATAAATTGTATTAGGCAAGATACGCTTGCAAAACTTCTATACTTCATTTTATGAAAAAAAAAAAAACAATTGTAAGCAATTTCTTATTTTTTTTTAATTGTCAGAAGGTATGAGTGCTTGCTGGGGAGAGAGACAAGGGTTAAGAGAGAAAGCACCATCCCAGTGGGCGTGGTCACGCTATAATACTTTTCCCTCCATTTCTCCATCCTGTCAAACTTGGTGTTTTCACACACATGTGTGTACGGTGCTGTTCAAGCCACTAGGACCAGGATTAGAACCATGGTCAGCCACGTGGGATCCAGCTCCCTACACATGGCACTCAACCACTTTATTTGCTATAGTACTTTAAAGCAAAATCTTTGACATTAGATCATTTTACCACTACATACCCTAATATGCATCTCTAATATTTGCCTTACATAAACACAAGCACATTATTAGACCTATAAAAAGTAATTGCTTAATACTGTCTAATGCTCAAGCCATAATCAAGTTTCTCTGGCAGTCTCAAATATTCTATTTAGGTTAGTTTGCTTGAATTAGGATCCCAACAAAGTCCACATATTACATACAGTTATTAGGTATTCTAGTCCATTGCTAATAAAAGAAAATTCTTGGGTCTGGCTAATTTAAGAGAATAGAGGGGTATTTTTTGTTGTTTTTTGTTTCTTTTTTAAAAAAAAAGGATTATTTATTTAATTCTATTCATTATTATTATTATTATTATTTTAAATATGACCAGAAAGAACAGAGAGAGAGAAAAAGGAAAAGCGGGAAAGCAAGCCACCAGGTCTGGGACTTGAACCACAACTAGCCATATGGAAATCCAGCACCTTTAACCACCATGCTACCTGTTGGCCCTGAGAGTAGAGGTTTATCTTACACACAGCTTTATTGTTTTAATTAATTTATTTATCTATTTATTTGTTGTGATTTTTCAAGCTGCCAGGTCTAGGACCTGAACTGTGGTCAGCCATGTAAGAATCCACTGCCTTAACCACCATACCACTGCTGGCCCTCACACAGAATTTAGAAGTCCAAGGTCTAAAGATTACATCTGCTAAGAATCTTCCTGTAGGTAGGGTCCCGATGCCGTGTGGGACATCACATCATGTATGAACAGGATGAACATTTGTGTGTTCATCCATCTGTATATCTCTGTTCTAGATTCTTAGCCAGGAGTCAATCACTGGGGTTCCATCCTAATTAATTAAATACTCCCTAGGCCCCCTTTTAATACCATGAAGGTATTAAGTTTCCTCTTAATATCTTCACAATATAAACAAGTTCCAACACATGAATTTTGGGGGTAAACCCAAATCATAACATTAAGTCTCTGTTTATCTTTTAAACAGTTCCTCTCATTTCTTTCCCCTTTTTGTTTCCTTTTCTTTCTTTCTTTCTTTCTTTCTTTCTTTCTTTCTTTCTTTCTTTCTTTCTTTCTTTCTTTTTTCTTTTTAAGGATGCATGTGCTTGCTGGAGAGAAAAGGGAAAGTGAGAAATCATCCGGGGTGTCCACACTGTCATCCCATCCCCTCCACCCTCCTCTCGGGATTTTGGGCATGCATGCACACACGTCTAGTGTGAATGTCAAGATACCAGGTCTTGGACTTGAACCGTGGTTGGCCATGTGGGAATCCAGCCACCTTAACTACCATGCTACCTGCTAGCCACCTACCCAGGCTTCTTTTACAGATAAGGGATGGGGTGTGAGAGACAGGGGATGTAGGTGGAACTGATGTTCAGTTCTTCAGCCCATTAGAAACCCTTGGGAGAAAATGTCAGACCCCTACTGTTTGTATTTTTGGGCCCTTTTGTCAAATACAGGGCATCTTGCCATTTTTACAATTCATTATAGTTTCTCCAGACACATTGCTATTACCTTCTTTCTAATTCTCCCAGTTCTTTGAACACACATAGACTCTCACTTCTCTTGAAGAGTAAAATGAATACTGACTAGCAACAACTATAATATGCCATGTGAAATTTCAAGGTCCCTTCTGAAGATCCTATGACTCTATTAAAACAAGGAAATAAACAGCAAGTTACATTTATAAATTTAGGTAAATTAAGTTAAAACTAATTATTCTTCTGAGTGAATTATTTTTTTCCCAAAACTTGATCTCTTATTGACTAAGTATTTATTTTCTAAAAGTTAGCAATAATTAATATTCATTTTCCCTTTCTGCTATGCCATTTTCTGTTCAATTCTGTATTATTTTGATTGTTATCCTTATTATAAAATAATTTATTTCAATTATTTTACCTTGTTTATAATTTGAGATGCACTTAATTTGAGCAGGATTTGGACTTTATAACTTGTTTCAGTATGCAAAGCTCTAGTAATATCAAGGAAATTTTGGCCTGAAAAGTTTTTGGGTGTGTGTATTCAGGTAACCTACATCTTAACCAAAAAACGAAAAGAAAAGAAAAAGAACTTGTTCGAACGTTTGCAGAAGCATCAATTTAATAGTAAAATGCTGCCTCCTTCTGGATAAATTGTATTAGGCAAGATACGCTTGCAAAACTTCTATACTTCATTTTATGAAAAAAAAAAAAACAATTGTAAGCAATTTCTTATTTTTTTTTAATTGTCAGAAGGTATGAGTGCTTGCTGGGGAGAGAGACAAGGGTTAAGAGAGAAAGCACCATCCCAGTGGGCGTGGTCACGCTATAATACTTTTCCCTCCATTTCTCCATCCTGTCAAACTTGGTGTTTTCACACACATGTGTGTACGGTGCTGTTCAAGCCACTAGGACCAGGATTAGAACCATGGTCAGCCACGTGGGATCCAGCTCCCTACACATGGCACTCAACCACTGTGCTACAGGCCTGGCCCTAAGAAAAATTTTAAAAGTAAATTTTCAACTAAAAAAAAAAAATTGGAATCAGAGGACTAGAATTAATCTTGAAAGATCACCTAATATAGCCGTCTTTCTTTTCTGTAAGTCTGGGTGGCTGCTGTCGAAATGGGCAAGTTCATGAACTCCGACAAAGTGGTGGTGTTGGCCAGATGCTACACCAGATGCAAAGCCGTCCCCGTGACCCCGTGAAGAACATTGATGATGGCACCTTAGACCATCCCTCCAGCCACACTCTCGTGGTCAGAATAGGCTACTATCTCCACAAAGTGACAGATGTCATGGGCAAGAAGAAAACTGCAAAGAGGTCAGAAATCAAGTGTATTGTGAAGGCTTATAACTACGATCACCTCATGCCCACAAGGTACTCTGTGAGTACTCCCTTGGACAAAACTGTGGTTAACAAGGATGTCTACAGAGACCCTGCCTTTTTTTTTTTTTTTTTTTTTTTTTTTTTTTTTTTTAGAGCAAGAGAGAATTTTGCTATTGGGCACGTGTGCTCGCCAGAAAGACAAAGAGACAGAACACGAAAAATCACCCCCCACCAGGGGAGGTGGTCATACTGCAATCCCTTCTCCTCCAGTCTCCTCTTGGAACTTTGAGCATGCATGCACACGTGCCCCATGTTAGTTTTAAGCTGCCAGACCTGGGACTTGAACCGCAGTCAATGAAATGGGAGTCCAGTGATGTAACCATTAGGGCATCTGCTGGCTCCAGAGACCCTGCTCTTAAATGCAAGGCCTGTGGGGAAACAAAGGTCAAGTTCAAAGACAGGTACAAGACAGGCAAGTGGTTCTTCCAGGAGCTGCAGTTTTAGATGTTTTATGTTTCAGTCACTTAAAAAGCAGAAGAAAGAATGAGAGAGAGAGAGAGGAAGAGAGAGAGGAAGGAAGGAAGAAAGGAAAAGATTACCTAGATTCTGTTTTGAGTCAGTAAAATACTGAAATTATCTATCTTATATAGATTATCTGTCCTTCTTTTAAAGATTTCTTAATACTTCCTGAGGAAGTAGAAAATAGATGATAAAATTGGAGTAGACATAATGTTCATTTTTACATTGGGCTACCTTACTTAAAATTTTTAAACATTCAGCTACCATTATCATTTATGCACACATACATATTAATACATGCCCAGAACAAGGAATGTGTGTGTGCGTGCATGCATGTGTGTGTGTGTACATATGGTACATGTGCTCACCAAAGAGAGAGAGAGAAAGCACCCCCCAATTGGGTGTGAACACACCATGAGCCCATCTCTATTTCTCTATCCTGTCGGGATTATGAACATGCACACACTCATGTCCAGGGCATTTTTCAAGCCACCAAGGCCAAGATGGAAACCACAGTTGCCCATGCGAAATCGGGCTCCCTAAACCACTAGACTACAGGGTCAACCCATGTGTGTGTGTGTGTGTGTATGTGGGGGGGGGTTCCAACAAGGACAATGAGATGCTCATGTTCTAGTCATATTTCTATAACCAGTAGTCATGTGGATTTGGACAAACCACTTAATCTCTGAGTCCCAGTTTCCTTATCTATAAATTCAGAATAATTGATTTACTATTACTAACCTCAAAAACTTTTTCTTTTTTAGTTTGTTATAGGGTGTGTGTGCTTACCAGAAAGAGATAGAGCAAGAGAGAGAGAAAGAGAGAGAAAGGTGGGAAATCACCACCCTGGGGGGGATGGCCATGCAGCAATCCCTTCTCTTCTACTCTCCTCTCGGGATTTCGGGAACACGCGCCCATATGCCCAGCATGTTTATCAAGCCACCCAGTTGGGCTTCAACCATGCAGTTGACCATATGGAATCTAGCACCTTAACCTCCACAGCACAGGTTGATCCAGCCTCAAAAACTGTTTGCAAGGCTCACTAAAATCAACAAAGCACTATGTGAGTTCATAAACTCACGTCTTACCTTAAGGCTTTAAAAGGTCACATGCCTGAAGTGAAAGAATAGAATCATATATGAGACCAACAAGAAAAATGTCTAATGATGTAGAATCTATTGCATGAACGTGGTGAGTTTGGTATGATCCATCAACTTTTCACAACCTGGGGTAAAGAGATGGGGAAAGAGGTTAGAAAGAACCCCTGACCACAGTTAGACAACAATACAATCCATTCCCAATGCTGCTGCAGGGGTGGGTTCTTTCCACAGACCAGGTGGGTCGATCAAAGCTGACCTGGCTGGGACATGGAGAGAGCTGTTTGCGTAGCCTCATCTCTGTCATCGTTACGGACTGTGCCTAGAGCTTCGGCCCAGGAAGATCAAGTGCGGACTATGCTGTTATATTAAAAAGAGTGTCATGACTCACCGAGGAGCCTTCCACAAAACTAATATTTAACAAAATCCAAACCAGTTCTGAGGCCAAAAGGTGTCCCAAATGCTCCCATCCCTACCTGGCTCTCTCTAATGGGTACGCAATTTAACCCTTCTGTATTTTGATTTTGTCTATAATTTGGGTATACCAACAATAGTACCGTTTTCAATAGGTCTCTGTGAAGATACAATGCCTTAGTGCAAGGAGTGTGCCCAGAACAGTGTCTGGCGTGCAAGCATACAGCACATGTCCGCTGCTTCGGCACCACTCTTGTTACTAGCACACTAACTTGCTGTCCCTGGCATTCACTTATGGGCAAATGATATGCCTCAGAGCTCTTCAAGCCTCTGAGACTGAAGGCTGATCCTTCAAAACCTCTGGCCACTGGGCTAGTTTGTGGCATAATGATTAAGATGGCTGGATTCTGGGACCAGCAGTTGGCCTAATGGCTATGTCGCTGGACTCCCATGGAGTTGACTGCAGTTCACGTCCTGGATCTGGTGGCTTAAACTCATGCAGGGCCTGTGTGTATTGTGGCATGGCCATCCCCCCTGGGGGGTGATTTCTTGCTTTCTGTCTCTCTGTCTCTCCCTGTCTTCTGGTGAATACACGAGCCCTATAAGCAAAAAGCTCTTCCCTGTCGCCCCCTCCAAAAAAAAGTAAAAGATGGCTGGAATCTACATGGCCAACTGTGTGGTCTGACTCTTAGACCTGGCGGCTTGAGAAATATCCCTGCCCAAAACCCCAAAAGGAGGGAGAAATGGAGAAGGGAGTGCAGCATGACTGTTCCCTATCAGGGAGTGGAGACGGATGCTTTCTCACTTTCCCTGTCTATCTCTGGCAAGTGCATGCAACCTCTGGCAAAAATTTTAAAAATGAAATAAAAAATAAAAACCTCTGGCTACCAATATAATTTTGTCTCTATACCAGTTACCTGACATTACAGGTAGACTTTATATTTTTCAATTACAAAATAATAAATTCCAACTACTGGTGCTATCTGATGGCACATTAGCCAAACTGAATAACTCTTTGTTTTGCCTTCATATAAGTAGATGTCTGTGGAATAAAGCTGGGACTTAGGCATATTTCAAGCTGTTAAACATTTTTTATGATGAGGAACGTATATACCATTTCTGCTTCACTCTGAGACCAGAAGCAGCTACATCATCCCTCCGTAAAAAACTATCTGGTAAATCACACTAAGAAAAATACTAGAAAGCATTGAAATGGTTTTGAATGAAAACTAAAGCCCACATTTGGCCACTAGATGGCATTTAAACCATGAGCAGGTTTTAGCTCACACTCAGTTTATTTACAACTTTAATTGGTTTGCATTTGGCCCCAAGCACTGGCAATTCTCAAAGTTTGACACTGTGGGAACTCTCAGGAGTGGGTGGGATGAAAGTGTAGGAATAGCCACAGCAGGTTCTGCAGACATAAACATCCTTTGGGAGCCATGAAAAGAAAAGTAATTTTAAATTCCTGCCTGAAATCTTGCAGATCAGATTCTTTTTTAAAAGTCAATTATTAAGGGTAAGATTGAAAGACTGGATAGCTTATGTCTTTTTAATTCATTTCGGTGTACCATGAGGTCTTAATAACCACAGAGCAGCATAATTCACCGGCAGCCTGTCTCGGTTGGCCATGGGAACTTCTGAGCCTCTACCTTTTTATCAGGTCCAGCAGCCTACTCATATCTGCCGCTTCCTCTTCAATTAATTCCTAGGAACGACCAGCTGTGGACTAGTGAAACACCCCAGGGGAGAAAGGAATAGATTCTAATCTCCGTTGAATAAAAATCCTGTTTTAAGGAAAGGAGACAGTAAGGTCAGTTGTTCTTTCATCTTTTACAAAGGTATTAGGAGGAAAAAAATGTGAATTTCAACAATAAGTCTTTAAGCCAATCATGAAGATGAAATGAAGTAAATACTAAAATAAACTACAAAGTAAATGTGTGTGTGTGTTCTTTCCATATAGCAGAAATATATTCTTCTTTTTAGAAAGATTTTTTTCACAAAGACACCAAAGATGTAGTAAGCAATGCTTTATCTGCTTTACTGTATGTAGGTTTTAGGCTTCTTGAAGTCGTTTCAGTCTATGGTGCTAGATTCAAGTTGTCCACTAGATGGCCCTATGACACCTTAAGTATCCTCAATGTGAAGCAGTGTAAAGTCTTAGTGTCAAGTTCACTCACGATAAAATAAAGTACAGCATATCTAATTATATAGTGTATGTGATGGAAAAGATCTCTTCCAAGGGAAAACCATGCAGTGATTTTCTAAAAAAGTATAACAAACTACCCAATAAGATGAAGAATTGAATACAAGCTCTTACAGTCACTCCATTGTCCATTCCACCCTCTTTCAAAAGACAGAAGAAAGTCATATACACCCCCCGGCAATTCACACACACACACACACACACACACACACGTGTATACATGTATATTTATTTATCTTGTCATTCCTTGTCTATTTTGAGACAAAACATACTTAATATCTACACCTGTAATGTGTGACCAGGAAACTAGTAGAAATTGGGGCAAAATGGGGAGGCCATGCTGAGCCATACTGGATCTTGAGGCCAAAGGAAAAATCAGTACTATCGACCCTGTCTCTAGCACTGAATGTGTCTCCCAAAAGTTCACGATCACTCAGAGCTTCAGGGTGTGACCTCATTTGGAAATAGGATCTTTGCGGATATAATTATGTAAGTTGAGATCATACAGCACTGGGCCCTAAATCGATGACCGATGATGTCCTTACACCGAGAGAGGACACAGGGACACCCACGGGGGAGAAAGCCCTGTGATGATGGAGACAGAGATTGGCGTGATGCCTCTGAAAAACCAAGGGACACCGGGATTGCAGGCAATCGGCAGACACCGGGAGAGAAACAGGAGGCTTCTCCCAGAGGGCCTTTTGCCTCCGGAACTGACAGAAAATAAAGTTCTGTTGTTTCAGTCACCCCATTTTGGGTCCTTTGTTACAACAGCACATGAAAAATAATACATTGTCTTTAATTAGAATTTTCATATTTTATCATGGATTGTTTAGCAGTGAGTTTGATTTTTTAAAATTATTGCATGGGGACCAGCAGATGGCAGAGTGGTTACGTTGCTGAACCACAGCATGGCCAAGCCAGTTTGAGTCCTGGACCTGGTAGCTTGAAACTCATGCTGGGTGTGTCTGCGTGCATGCCCAAAATCCCGAGAGGAGACTGGAGAAGGATTGAGGTGTAGCCTTGATTTCTCATTTCTTGTCTCTCTGTCTCTCTCTCTCTCTGGCAAGTGTGCACACCCTATAGCAAAAATCTCTCTCTCAAAAAAAAAAATACATGAAAATATTTATCTTGATCACTTAATTTTGGCACCTTCTCCCATCACATTTTCTAGCCGAAGCAAGCGCCTCACACACTGCACCCTTAGTTTTGGCATTAGGGATGTTTTAATTGTGTTATCAACAGGTAAGTTTCTCCTCAGTCTATGTTAGACACAGAGACCTCCAAACAGCAAACACTAAAAACACGCAAACAAGCATGATTCCTAAATAAAAGGGCTTTCAACAGGGAATGACTACATGCTCTCTCTCAGTGCAAAAATACAGCCCATCTCTCAGCATAGACAATAGATGTGGGCAACCCTTGTTTAAAAACAGCAGGCAGTCTGTTAAGTCCATCTGCTTCCCTTTGGAAGGAAAGAAAATTACCTAGTGGTTTCATTAGCCTTAGACTCCATGTAAGGGAGTTCATGACTATGCTATATTCCCTTTGAGAAAAATATCTAGAAGAAAATCCTTCCTAATTGAATGTGAGTATGAGAGGACTGGATAGAAATAAGCACAGGTTTAAAAACATGGTCCTGGGTCAGCAGGTGGCATGGAGGTTAAGGATGCTAAATCCCACATGGATGACTGGGCAGTTTGACTCCCAGACTGGTGGTTTACAAATCATGCTGGGCGTGTGTGTGTGTGTATGTGTGTGTGTGAGAGTGTGCCCAAAATCCTGTGAGGAGACTGGAGGGGAGGGAATTGTAGTATGGCCATCCCCCCAGGAGGGAGATTTCTCACTTTTCCTTTCTCTCTGTCTCTGGTGAGCACATACGCCCTATAGCAAAAAGCGAACAAAACAAAAAATGAACCGTGGTCCCAAGCTTTCCAACACTCCTCCTGTGGAGAGGTGGGGGAGTGGGTGGGACTGGGGAGAGGGGCTATGGTCACATCTCTTGAATATGGGCATGCTTGTGACTGCTTGGATCAAAGGGGTACCATGGACATGATACTGGATCTGGATAATAAGGCCATGCGGGATTATGTTCTAGAATACTAGCACATGGAGCCCTGAGCTGCTGTGTAAAAAGCCTGGCTACCCTAAGAACTCCAGCTGCAAGGAACCAAGCTACAGCAAACAGCTGAATGTAAGCTTTTATGTCAACAGTCCTGGTCTCTGAGGCATCCTAGCTTGTGGGATGAGACCTGAAACCTCAAGAGAAATCAACCACCCCTGCAATGTCTGTCCTGACCCACAAAATCCGTGAACATAATAAAATGGTTGTTTCAAGATGCTAAATTTGGACCAATCTGTGATGTGGTAATACTAATAATATGAGGGTCAAAGCCTTATCAAAATGAATGAATTCACTATCCAAAAATATTCCAATCATCTGTAGAATGAAAGTTTACAATACTTTGGAAGAAAAATGTTACCAAATAATCTGAAGTAAGTTTACGTACATATTGCCCCACTTGATGCTTTTTTATTATAGTTTCAAAGCTGTAATAAAACACCTGAAGCCCAATCCCCTGATAATGCATTCTGTTCTAATTGTTTATTAACTGTGAATTTCTATTTTAATTGTAAGATGGAAGGATAAAGGCTAGTAGGTCAGTGTGGTGGTTAAGGTGCTGGATTCCCACATGGCCAACTGTGGTCCAAGTCCTGAGCCTGGCAGCCTGAAAATTAAGCCGGGCAGGTACGTGCACATTTGCAAAATCCCAAGAGGAGAATGGAGGAGAAGGGATTGCGGCGTGGCCATCCCCCCTGGGGGGTGATTTCTCGCTTTCTGTCTCTCTCTCTTTTTCTGGTGAGCACAAGCACCCTATGACAAAAACCTAAAAATTTTTTAAATCATGGAAGGATAAAGTTAGTAAACCACGCCCTTTGACCTTTCATTTCTAATTTTATCCCATGATATAGAGGTCAATAGCTTGTAAGCTGAAATTTCCCAATCATAGAGTTAATCAGCACTTGTCTGGTGAGGATGTTATTTCATGTTTTATATGTCTTATAGTTGTAGCATAAAAACATCAGCAATAAAAGGCATTAAAAAATGTGAAGACAAACTTTAAACTTGTAATTGCTGTAAAAATCTACATTACTTCTGGAGAAGGAATGATTTGCTGATGATACTGTATATGGTAATGTCTTTGTCTTGACTGATATGCGCTGTATTCATGCTGGGAAAAAGCCATGCTATACACTGTAAAGATGTACAGTGATTAAATATAAATTTTAAAATAATAATAAATCTTAGGCACATAGCTGTGGATGACAATGTTTAGTCAAGTCAGTGTGAGGTTTCCGATCATCACATGTGTGTTTACCTAAATGCAACAGTCACATAGTATTTTCATTTTCTCTTTATTTCATTTGCAAATAAATTCTTCCCCCTGATGTATATTCACAACTTCTTTAAGAGTTAACAGAACTATTTGGATCAAGCTAAAAGGCAACATTTCTCTCTAGGAAAGACTAGGCAAGATATCACAGCAATTTATTCACCCTTAATCATGTAGGACAACCCAAGTATTATTATTGAATAGCTCAGTCCCTAGATGTTACTATAACTGGTAAGGTGCCTGGAAGTTATCCTGTGAATTATATTTTAATAACGATCTGAGTACAACATGACCAATCCATGATTATACTTTGTCTTTACTACTTCATTTCCTACTAAAATTTTATTTTAAAGTTAGTCATTTTTTTTTTCCTATCAGCAAACTATAAGAAATTACTCTTGGCAATTTTTTCAGGCATGTTGATCTCTAAAAAGTCTAAAACATAGATAATGAAATGTCAATTTTAAGAAAGGATTTTAAATGCTATTAAAAAGTTAATATGGAAAAACATGGCAATAAACCTCTATGGTGATGTTTACAGGTTTTTTAAAATAATTGTTTATTTTAATGTTACTTATTCATTCATGCAATTTGGCCAGAGAGAAACAAAGAGAGACAGAGAGAGAGTAAGAAAGCAAGCCACCAGGTCTGGGACTTGAACCATGGTCAGCCTTGTGGGAGTGTCTAGTGCCTCAACCACCATGCCACCTACTGGTCCCCAATGTTTACGGTTTTAAAGGAAGACCCTAAGTAAAATGTTTAATATAAAGAGGGATTAGAAAACTAAACATCAACACAGAGTCAAAGTAATATTGCATACCAAAGATATTTCGAAGTTAGAAAAACAGATAAGCTAGCTGTATCATCTCTAAAGAAATTCAACAAACTAGAGCACTCCAGCTATAAACAATAAAAGGCATTAACAACTGTGGAGACAAACTTTAAACTTGTAATAGCTGTAAAAATCTACATTATTTCTGGAGAAGGAATGATTTGCTGAATAAAAGATTTACTGGCAAGAAGTAGACCCCTGCACACTTAAACATCGTGACAAAGTTTTTATTCTCACCGAGAGTAGGGAATTTCTCATCTGGACACGGCAGGTTTAGAGTGGGATGTGAACAACGTGAACTTTGTTGTCTCCAGGTCTATTTTTCCTTTTGTATTTTATTTTGTAAGCGACACTGTAGGTCTTTAGGAAACCTTTGTTTTCACTTATATGAACACTGGAAATTGCTGTGTCTAAATGGCATAAAAGTAATAGTTTCAGTCCTGAACAATAAAATTATATTAGTGTCAAGTCAGACGGAGTATTGCTTACCCCAGTCTCCGTATACAAAGCTGTCATTTTACGCTATCACCCGATTTTCTTGCATTTCACTCACACTCAGAACGCGTCAACAGGCAACCCAAAGCTTCCAAATAAGCCCGAACGACTCACTTCGCAGTCGCAGAACTCTCAGCTTGGAAGGGGAGGAACTAGGCTGAGGAGTGCCTGCCTTTTCACCCTTATTAGGAAACGAACGTTTAAAGACTTAATTTCAAATCTTAGGAAATTACAAAAGAGGTGAGGCTTCCGCCGGCTCAGACCAGGGGAGGGCAGGCGCCTGCCCGCGGCCATAGG